CAGCGCAGAAATAGATAAAGTCAGGATACATCCAGAGCGACCTACATTTTCCGAGCGGCTCGCACAAGGGAGGCAGGTGCCCCATCGGAGCACCCCGTTCCCATGGCTCCTCTGAACGACGGCAGCCGAGGAGCACGACGGACCGCTAAGCGCAGGCACCGCTCCCTCGCCCCTGCTCCGTGTGCAGCACCCTGGCCCTGCCCGGAGAGGAGCTCGACCCCGGCCGCGCACGTGCACGCTCTTGGCGCCGGCAGCACAACGTGTCCCGGCACCACATTCCGGATTTGCCCAGAGAAAGCTGGGAAAAGGGGAACCAACACTGTACTGTCAAAAAGACCGGGATAACACAGGGATCAGGGCAGAGCCTGCAGCTGGGCAGACGAAGGCTGAGCAGCGATGGGGCAGGGAGGAAGGACAGTGCCCATCCCGTTGGGCTTTTCCAGGGAAACCCGCAGCGATACCCAAACCCTCCCTCCTCTGCTGCCAGCAAAAACCTCACAAATTACTCGGCGAAGCAACTTCTCTCCCCTGTCTTGTGGAGGTAACGGGTGCCTATCGCCCAGTGTCCATGAGTGCAGTAGGGCTGGGGGTCTGCACAAGCATCAGTACACATCTGCTGGAACAAACCAAAAACCAGTAAAATAGTATGAGAACGCCTAGAGACCTGCACACCATCAGGAACAACGTTAAGATTGCAAAACGAAGCTGAAGCTCTCAGGTGCTGGGGAGCTCCCAGACTGCAGGCTGTACGCTTGATCCTTAACCAGCGAGCAGCACCAGACTCCCAAAATCCAGACCCTGGCTCCCTCCAAACTGAACATCCCAAACCAGCGACTTCGTGGGGGTGTTACTGTCCGTAGCAGCATATCCTCTTCTCAGGGAGGACGTGAAAATAATTAATGGCAGTGAAGCAATCAGTTGATGAGCTCTGAAGAAGTATCTAGGGGGAAATTAAACACTACGTCTCCAAATCTGTAATATGTTTTTAGTGGCCCACTTTTCCTTCAAACTGAAGTATTTTCAGCATAGACCTAAAACGATTGCTAAATTGTTCCTGCCCAGTTTTTCCTAGATTTTTGAAGCGTTTAGGGATTTACTGTCATCTTCATGAAGCATCAGATTATGTTAAGTAATTCTGCACAGCCCCATGTGGGATCTGCTGGGGTCTTCGTGGTTTCACTTTTATTAAACAATAGAGAGGAGGCGCCTTGGGAATCCCCTGAGAGGCCATCTACTGCATTCCCCAGGGCCCCAGCGTACAGCATTGCCCCCCGCTTCTCTGGCTTCTGTTAAACCAGCTTTACCTTGATGTCTTTCAGAAATAAACATGGAAGTATGGGCAAAGGGGGAGAGGAGAAAGAATGAGTTTTTACTGAAATGACTAAAAACAGTTTAAGGGGAGGTTAACAAACATGAGAAGCATGATGATGACCTGCTAATCATCACTCCATTGTTCTCCCTACCATTACAAAGCCCCTTTTAGAGTCTGGTTTCCTCAAACCCACAAATAAATTTCAATGGAGACAATGTGACTCTGTGCCTACATCCTTTTTTCCCCTCACAAAGTGCATTTCTGTGCATGCTCTGATTTGATCACACGTTTGGTAACTGTATTGCTGGAATGTAAAAACCAGAATTAGAGGTTTATCAGCCCAATATGATGACAACCCCTTTCAACTCAGACCAAAGAGGCAGGTTGCTAAATGCTGACAGTTGTCTATTTTCTCCAAGTACCAGTTTTTTCTTTGACAATAGGTTACAAACGGTTACTCTGCTATAGGAGAAGGCAAAGCATTTGTCAGTGCTGCTTCTGCTTCCTCCTCCACCCCAGGGCTGGACCAGGGCCACAGACAGTGAAGCCTGGGGGAGCTTTCCCGGGGATTCGCAGAGCTGGCAGCTCGGGGTAGAAAGATGCTGGGAAACTCCTCAGCTGATGCCCGCTGTCTTGGACCCGTACACCTTGTGACAGCCTCCGACAGCCAAGGCGCTGCCCCCAAGTACCGCGGTGCTAGAGAGGGTGGATCCAGCTGGGTCCTGCACCCCGGGGACGCACGAGCTGGAGTGTGGTCAATAAATTGTCTTGGTCAATAAAACCGCTATGGAGAATGACGGAGGACCAATGGACCGAGGGATCTGTCTTGCTGCTAGCTAGAGGGGAAGAAACTGGATATGCTTCTGTTGGGACAGCAGATGCTCACATCCAGTTCTTGTTAAAAACGGTTTTTTCTCTTTATTCTGAATTAGACAGTTAATCTTGAAATGTCAGTCCTCCAAACCCCGTTTTGATACATGTTAAAAGTATGTTCAGCTTATTCAGAACTGACAAAAAAGCCTGTGGAAAAATAAACTATCTTGAGAGCAATTATGGAGCTCAAATCTAATTTAAAGTAGACTGAAAAATAACCCAACTCATAGTTTATGGAGTCAACTGTGTGATTTCACTGTTACTAATAATGAAAAAATACATTCCAGGTCTTGTCTCTTTTAAGTAGCCTGGAAAAATGCATTCAGAGGTATGCATCACACAGAGATTAAGAATTATTTCAGCAACTCATATTTTTAATGGTTTCATTATAAACTTATTCCTGTAACTCAAGAGATATTTAAAAAATCATTTTTGTGTTAAAAGCTAAGACAGGTGAGGTTACAAGGTAGCAACGTGCTGCCATAATCATCATCTTTTGCCTAGAGTGGCTGCACAGGAGCCGGCTAATTGTTTGTCAAGTAGAGAGATGAATTTAACTGCATAGAGCTAATCCCTTTCTTAAACTACTCTCGTAACACTTTTTTTTATTACCCACAGCATAGTTACAAGGGTGCCAACAGCCTACCAGTATTTTTCAAGACTACATTACGATGTTTACACACTTTCTGTATGGATTAAGAGTAGTTAATAGAGCTCCTTGAATTAACAGATGATCAACAGTGACCTTTTCCTGTCAAAACACAAAAACTGTTGGGAGCGCAGACTGCCAGGAAAACAAATAATCGGCACTTGGGATGCAAACGCACGCCGGCCGGGATGCGCGTCCAGGTAGGTGTAAAACCCCACAGCCAGCGCTACACGACATGCTGACTGTGGCTGTGGAACGGGCCCTGATGTCACGAAATCAGGCATCCAAAAGTCAGGAAAGAGCAGACCAAAGGCCGTCTGGGATGCACAGACAGGTCTCCAGGATGGCGTTCCTTGGGACCACTTCTCAGCTCCACCAGCGCCGTTCCCGGCGCCTCTTTCAAGCCCAGCCCAAGCCCCGCATTTGGGCATTCAGAAGAGGGCACTGCACCAACCACCAGCACCAGGGATGCGCAAGAGGCACCACACGCAGCACTGATGCCTGCGGTGCGGCGCGCAGGGGCCGCAGCGGTTTAAGACAACCCCGCTCCACTGCCGGGCAGAAGCGACTCACGGTCCATGGGGGGAACCAGCAGATTTGACCAGAGCCAGGCAGGTGAAACCCAACCTGCAGCTTCACCCCATACCTACAGCAACAGGAGGTGAAGATCCTCTGAAGGTCCCTCTCTCCACCAACTGCAGAGAGACTCTGGGTGACTAGCTGCTGTATGACACTACTTTCAGAGAGGGTTTAGATGAATTTTTGGGAGTATTCTTGTGCGTGCTAAAAAAATCCAGCTCAGGTCCAGTGCTCACTTTCCACAACATCTCAAAGCTCAATGTTCCCATGGAAACTTGGAAGCCCTGAGCTTGCCAGACAAAGTCAACAGTGATGTTACTCAAATTTTTCCAGCCATTTAGCCGAAATAAAATCGTAACACAGAGCACTAGCATTACAACATATAATACAATCTAATTTATATTTAAAAAGAAACCATGAATCATTGCAGATAGCTAATGGTGACTGCTCATTTAAGCTGACTGAAAGTTATTAAATGCTTTTAAACATTCACTAGAAGCAGGTATTTTCTTGGCTGCTTAAGAATGCCTCTCCCCCCCAGGAAGTACCAACTCGGCAGTTCTTCTTAAATGAAGATGATATTAAAAAAGAAAAGAATTGTCTTCATCTACCTAAAAAAAGTTGAGGAATGGATTTGGAGGGACAGTGCTTCCTTGGTGAGAGCACAGCAGCTGCCAAACGCAAGGTCCTCTAGCACTAGCTAGGTGTCTAGCGGACTGACAGGCCAGGGTTATTTAAATAAATTTATCTTGACTATCTTTTGGCCTTACCCATGCACACCACTTACACTGACTTGTTTGGAGCAGAGATCACAAAACTCCAAACCCAAAATTGCACAGATTTCTGATTTTAGTAAGGTCTTTAAAATAGCATCTGTTAAAGTCTTTTTGGCACATTTCTGAACTTTGAGGCAAATCCCTCACCAGCCCAACGTCCTCCAGAATTCCCAAGAGGATCCAGGACACCCTGCAGCTGATACATGAGAAGTTGCAATCTTTTCTTTAATATATTCAGGAAGAAAAGCTCACTTTAGCAACTTAACTACTCAGAGAAATTCTGGAGACCCAAACTTTTTTTTTTTTTTTTTTTTTAAATTAATCCAGTTAATAACATTTTTAAATAGAAGACTCTCTCTAATTTCTTTCTCCTACGGCTATGTCATAAGGGGTGTCACAAGGATTTCTGGGGGAAATTTCTGGGGATAAGACTTCACTTAATTTTGAAGGCAACTGCATGAATGTCCTCCCTCGACCTGCCAACGCCGCAGCATCCTCGTGCTCGGGCACGGAGGGCAGGGGACCACAGCTGCCTGATGGCCTCAGCAAAGTCAGTCTGGCTGGAGCAAAGTCACTCACAGGAGTTTATTCACATGACAGCACACACCTGCGCTCACAGGCTGCACCCGGGTTTTTAAAAGGGTTTATGTAAAACTGAAGTATGTTACACTCAGTGTAGTTACTGAAACACACTCTCAACCACGACTGAGAGCAGCAGCCCCTGCGGGCAGGAGGCGGCATCAGCCTGCGGTGAGCGCACCAAGCCCTGTCCACACCGATACGAGAAGAAACGCGAAGTCACAAAACTTACACAAAGGACGTGCAGGACCACAGCTCCATGTCTCCTGTCCTCATTCGTGAAGATGTCATTGGGGAATTCATGGAGAGCTGCAAAAAGATGGGGAGGGGGGGAAAAAGCTCAGATGTTTAATCGGCTACTCAAAACCACCACACATGCTGTTAAGTCACATCATGAAAGCTGCCCAAGCCCTTCTACCAGGCGGTAGTCCTACAACTACCAGGCCAGAGGCTCTTTGTTTCACCTCCCTGTTAGTTTAGCTTAACTCGTCCGCTGGCAATTATAGCCTTTCCCCAGAGCTTTACGGTGTAATTTGCTTCTGCGGCAACCACAACATTGTGTACCCAAAGATGCCCCACCACACATGCTGTTAAGTCACATCATGAAAAGCTGCCCAAGCCCTTCTACCAGGCGGTAGTCCTACAACTACCAGGCCAGAGGCTCTTTGTTTCGCCTCCCTGTTAGTTTAGCTTAACTCGTCCGCTGGCAATTATAGCCTTTCCCCAGAGCTTTACGGTGTAATTTGCTTCTGCGGCAACCACAACATTGTGTACCCAAAGATGCCTTGGGGAGGGCAGATAAATCCCAGGAGCGCAGCACTGCACTCTCCTGAAAACGTTCAAGGGAAACAGCGGCGTACAGAGCAGGTGGTGATGGGTCACTCTCACCAAGCATTTCTGACTTACGGTTTTGTACCCAAAACAGATGGGTAAAAGCCTCCCCCGACACCGCCTCCCCATTGGTAGGGCGCAGGTAACCGGTACTCATCTCTGGCAGGACCTAGTGCTCTCCAGACGGGCAAGAGCTCCCCTGGAGTGCCCTTCCCAGCAGCAGGCACAGCGGAGGCCTTGTAGCAAACCACCTCTCAGCTGTTTTCATTCTTTACCCTGCCCTGGTGTCTCTCACTGCCATCACTGAACTACTAACACCACCAAGATACCGGCCTTCCCTGTACAGCAAACGCTCCGAGGACAACCTGCTGTGTTACACAGCCAGCCAGTGGCTGAAAGGGGACGCAGCCCAGGACAGAGGCAGATTTGGAAATTTCAGATCAAAACGAATTCTTTCTCTACCTCCAAACTTCACTCTGCCTCCTCAGAGACGTCCTCAACATGAACAAGACATCCGATGTATGGCGCTAGTGATGCAAAGAAGGTTTTGACAAAGACATATCAAATACTTTGGGGAAAAAAACGCAAGGATGCAAGTCCATGGAGTTGCAAAGATTTCCATAGGGAAGGCTTAACATTACTGCAAAGCCCCGTGAGCTGTAACCCTATGTGCAAAGGCAAGCTGGGGTCCTCCCGAAGACGATGGCTCAGCAGGGCGACGCACGTCGGAAATGCTGGCAGAAGCGTTCCGTGAAGGCGCCATGACATGCCCTGTACCACGAGAAGGGGTGACAGTTCCCACCTCCCCGCACGCTCTTGCTCTGCACAGCCAAAGGCCGTCAGGTAGCCTGCGTAAAATGGCCAAGCCCGGGGGCCAGGCTTCAGCCACAGATCCACAGCAAGGCAACAGCTATTGCCCACGTGAACGCAAGGACGGCGTTCGAGGACTCCCTCGGCACGGCCTGGACATGTTCCCAACAGCAGCTTTTTACCTGCAGCAAACTCAAAGGCAAAGCCGTTATTGCTCCGAATGAAGGATATACACCTTTACTCTGCAGGAAGGCTGCAGGACTCAGGCAGGCACCGTGGTCTAATTAGCTGCAGAAAGAGCATCTGTTGGTAGAAGGGAACCATGAAGAAGCTTCATGCAGAAACATAATTATTTCAAATAATGATATGATAAAGCAGGGAAAGCAACAGCAACCCAAAGCAGATGCTGTTTCTCTCAGTAAAGCTGCGCACTGGCAGGGTAGTGGATCCTGCTTCTGACCTCACCCATCTTCTCATGACCATGATCTTCTCAATGCTCTACAGCACCTTGCTGTAGCCCAGCTCACGCAAAGGAAAAAAGGGCGGCATTCTACCTAGGCAGAAGGTGACGTGCTAAAGATGGTAACCCCCCCTCCAATTCCTTCCACCTTCTGAAATTACAAGGTGGCACATTTTGCAAACAGGCAGAAGTACTTTTACCACACAGCATGTTATAAAATGGTGGATTTCATTCCCCAAGGTGCCAGCAACAAAGCAGGAAAGGGCCAAAAGGAGATCCTCCACAGATTGTCTGTCGGTGATATTAAGTATGGTAATCTAAATGCAAACTCCAGTCACTGCAAACCCTGTCTTGAGCAGTCCGCAAGGGTATGCATGGGCAGAAGAACTGATCTTTACGTGCTCTGTTGCTTACACTCCTCCCTAAGCATCCCCGACCAGCCACTTCCAGAGCAGGACGCTGGGCTAGGTGGCCATTATGTCAACTCCATAACTTGAGCGGTTTTCTGAACAATCAGGAGAGGAGAAAGGGACATCTGGAAATCTGCAGTGAGAAGTGATGGAAGCAGAGCTGTGACCTCCTGGTTGCTCAAGCATTCATGCTTTTGCTCCCTTCCTCCTTTCAGCAGAGAAAAGCACCAGCTCCAAAGTAACGAGCTTACACCTAGAGGAGGGTTTGCACTTCACCTTGGCTTTATCACCCAGTTTAAGTCCGACAGAGGCATAAAGTCTTAGAAATGACACACTAACAAGCACCTGGGACAGATGATGGCCCACTACGCCAACCCAGAAAACAGCTCAGCAATTTGGTTTGTTCAATGTGCCTTCATTAAGAGCAACATATTTTTGTTAGATTAGCAGTTCTCGTTCCGAAGTCAAGTAATCAGTCTAACAGTTGAAAAGAGCACACAATACAGTCGGATAACCTTTGTGGCAAAAACGGTGTTGCAAGTCATTTAAAGACAAATTGCTTCCATTTACTCAAATGCTTTATTACTGTTCTGGATGTTAATTGGATCATAAAGCACTTAAAGACAGTCTGCCAATTAGGTTGCAGGAATGGCTTTTGGTTATAAACTGAAAAGCAAGTGTGAAGATGATGTTCTGGCATTCCAAGTGCTTTTCAGTAATTCCAGATTTGAATCGCTCAATAATAACTAAAAGAACGGCTTTCTTCTAATGGTCAGTTCTGCACGTTCAGCCTTGAGTTGGAAAAAATCAAGCTGCTTTTTTCCTGGCTTTCACATCGTTATCATTAATAAAGCTCCAGCAATTGGAATTTAATTAGCAATTCCATAGATGATTAAATGGAAAAACAACCCAGCTCCCTCTCACAGCTTTGCGGCCTGTGAAGCAATAACTGAGCAAAAGGTAGCTACATCTCCATTTTGCTACTAATGCAAGCAAGGGACCTACCTAGGCACCGTATCCGAGAAGGAAAACATTCTTTTTTACATAAGCAGTCTTTTGACCAAAGACTCAGGTTAATACTGTTAATTGCAGGCCTGTGCATTGGTAAATGTTATAGCGAGTCCTAACAAACTAGCGGGAGCTACTGGAGCAGTACAGACGGCACCTTTAAAATTCATCTTGTAACGAAGTAACATCAGCAATACCCTTGAAAGCGTGGTAAACCACGTCGCAAACAGGGGTGTAGCCATGGGAACGCCGCATGGCACCAGATGAGAGGCCTGTGCACCGCAGCATGCCGAGAAACCTGGAGCGGTCACCCACCATCGGCTCGCGGCCTCTGCCGCTCGCCCGGGACCACGGGGGCCAAGGGAGCGGGACCTGCCGTGGCCGGCCTGCGGGCCCCCCGGGCCGGGGAGGGCCAGCGG